AAGTGCAAAATCTGTCGTAACTTTACGATAGGTCTTCCCCGTTCGTAAGTGTAATTTTTTCACTCTTAAGGGTAAAATATCATGTATCTCTTACCTAAACTGAATAAAAATAAACAAAAGTTGAGGACAACTAAATATTAAGCAAACAGTATGCTATAAATAACACAAATTGAGGTATAATTATTTTTCAACATATACATTTGTGACGTCATGACTTGATGACGTCACGATGGAGAGGGTTATGAATAGTTTAAAATAATGTGAACTCCATACTGTAGACTAGTATTATTGAAAACTTATAATTTGTACAATTGGTGAGTTCGATTTCATTGCCAGCATGTACTAGTGGTACCTTTTTATTTATTAATAACATAGTAGACCTTCTTTCTGAATCTTTTAGATATATATAATTATCTTCAATCAAGATATAAATCATATTAGTTTGAATCATTTTTTTGTTCTTATTGAAATTTGGTTGTGTTCAATAGGCCTACATATTTCAAGCTCTTTATAACTTGATTTTTAAACCGGAATCAAATATAGAGCATGCACATCACTATCAAATGAACGTTGCTAGGGATGTTTTTGTCGTAAGATTTATCGTAAGTGAATTTTTTATCTTAAGATAAATTTTTAACTTACGAGTGGCTTTGTGAAAATGACTTAAGATTTAACTTACGATTATCGTAAGTGAAAAACTTAAGATAAATCGTAAGATTTTTTGTGAAAATGTCTGCTGAACTATTAGATATTCTGCTCCTAAATTGTGTGTGTGGTTACATGTAATAACAAGTCAAAATATATATGTCTATATAACGTCATTTTACTACAGCCGTGATATGTACATGTACATACTTGTATTAAAATACCTACCCGATTTACAAAATGGAAAACCACTTTATCGAATACGGGTTTTTCGGCTACCCAGATCTACTTTTAAATCTAAATGCATTGTCACGGTCTTGTATTGAAATTAACCGACCGCTTATTAGGCTTAAATACTTCTTTTGATAATATGTAAAATTTGCTTTATATATAAGTTTTGAGTTACATCTGAAAAAAAAACTTTTTGAAAACAAAAAATAAAGCCCAAAGTATTTGAAAATGTTTGCAATAATTACCAAATGAAGGATAGAAAGGAAACAAAACAAGTATTCCAGTTTGGCGACTTTTGATGCTAGTTATATACCAATACCTTTATATTAAGTACAGGCGTTTCTACGTGACTGCTGAGGAAAAAAACAATGTTATGCTTAATTAAAGAGGTGACACTTTCTATATTTTCATCTAATATGGAGTTGTAAGAGCCAATTTGCAGTTATATTGGGAAGAGTTTGATGACTCCCTACGGTCGTCTTAATACAAACTCTTACCCATACATATCTATAAAATGTGCGTATATTCACATTCGTATACATACATACATACATACATACATTATAGGTAATAAAGGTAGACTTTCTGAAAAGAACATGTACAAAGTAACAACAACGAAACGTTTTTGGTTGGAAAATATTTTCTTCGAACAGAATTATAGACACAATTAATGGATAGATTTTTGCTAACAGGAAGCTTTGAGAACAGAAATTGGTCGATGCTTGAGTAACACGGTAGCCATTCATATTTTTTTCCATAATTATGCAAGTCGGCTAGACGCTATACACGTGGTAATAGCATACGCGCAGTAATCCGATAAAAAATAGGATATATTGGAACTGCATTCAAATGCGTATGGTGATTCGGATGATTTTAGGTTTCCGGAAAAATGTAAACGGTATTATTTCGAAAAAAGGTTTATAACAGCGCCTCCATCCCCCCCATCTCTGTTCAACGTTTAGGTATTATTTGCGTGAATGATACAAATTCCTACTTATTTTCAATTATACATTTTAACGCACTGAAAAACAAGTGTTTGATTTAGTATCTAAAGAACGCCAACAATTGCACGTTGCTTGTGTCCGTATTAAGTTATACTTACTACAGCTTTTAATCTTTTGTAAACATATACTAAAAGTTTACTCAAGCTTAGATCTCAGGTCATCGGTGTAAAGTAAAACATTTCAAATCAATTTTACTGTGTTAAAGAAATCTGAATAATTAAACAAAAATGTCTTTGCATGTCAAATAGCATAGACATAAATTTTTGGTTTCGTTTTAGATTTGTTCTTTCTTCTATTAATTCTACCCCCCCCCCCCCCCCCTCACCCAATTATACTTTTTCCTATTATTATTCTAAATAGTGCATTGGCCTGTAATTTGGGCATGAGGATGGGCACCATGAAGAAAGAAAAACAGAAATACTTACTCGGTTACGAAGCAGATTCACTGATACTTTCCACGTTATATCAAATTTTTGTATATTTCTGTTATATTTCCTACTTATGCCAATGCCCTATTGTTCTTATACAAACTATATCTTAAAAATCCATTTTCTTTTATAAACTGACTTACACTGTCAGATATTTTGCACAAAAGTCCAATAAAGAAATCCAATGAAAAGTCCGAGATCATCAATTGGGTCATCGATATTAACAACATATTTATATACGAACTAGTGCGTGTCGCTATCATCTAGACATAGTAATATAAATACCTGTAAAACATTCTTTCAAAATTTCAAGGTCATTATTGGTCATATGATATTGAATTGGTTAGTAAATAAATTGAATAAATTGAAATCACAATAAGTTATTGCACTACTATGTGCGTTCAAAAGGAGACCATTCCGACTCCACCACGTGAACACCTCTTTGTTTTCAATAAATTATTTGGAAATTATTTTCAAATGCTTTGATTTAGCGATCATTTCATGCGAAAAAGTTGGGAAAAACTGAATATTCTAAGGAAAATCCTTTTGATCAAGAAATTCACTGTTTTTTTCAAGACGTTTCTATTACTTTTAATTTTGATTAATTAATGTAATTTTGAAGCCATGTTTGATTTCCACTAAGTGGAACCAAAGTGAAAATAGGCAGAAATTCATATAATAAAAGATAAAGCTCACAATGTAAAATTATGAACAATTTGTAATTACACTCACAAGTGTATGTTTTAAGGACTAATATAAATAAAACTATATTAAAAATTCTATAATAAATATACCGTACTTCGTCCTTGTCTATGAGTAATTTATCATAAAATACTGTTCGTAACCTTTTGGTAATAATGAATCTAATGTAAAAATACATTATCATATTAACAATTAATACAAGAATGTTGATTAACCACGAAGAAAAAGTTCGGGATTTTTTAACATAACGACAAATGTTAAACAACATTAAAACTTACTCTTATAAAAATTTCACGAATATCCCTTAAAACGACCTTGTATTCCCCTTTTATTTGAAGTATATGAAAATAAATAATGATAAACAGATAATGTGTCAGTGGTTTTACATAGCTCTTGTTTAACAAATCTTCAATTATTCTCTTTTCATTAATACTTTTTGTGTATACCATGGACCCTCCCAACTACCGAAGTAAGTGAAATAGAATGGAACAAAGAAATAGAACAAAGTAAAGTTTAAACTGGTGTAAATGTAATACATGTAGTCGGTAATTTGATTCAATCTTAATTGTTTTACTTTTACTTTCATACCAATGCACGAGACCTTGAAATATTCGTTCACTTATTTTATATTCAGGTTAGATAAACACGCTTATTAAAGTGATATTTTTCTATTTTATTTTTTTTATTTCAAGCTGAGGTAAATAAGTAATATTTCAAGGAATTGAAATTTTAAGAAGACTGCCGACCTCTTTTTAAAAATTGAATATAATGCTACTTTTAAGTTATCACACATGCTCGTCATAATGAGAACTAGCAATTATCATAGTATTGCAAGCAATCCATAAGTCCCCTACCGGTTAGAACCCCAGCAACATTCTGAAGGGCCATTGGCCATTCACTTATGTTTCAATTTTTCTCTATTTTAAGTAAATTTGTTGGACAAGTTCTTTAAAAGTGATCACAGGAACAGTTTAATGTACAGGCAGACAGACGGACTGAAGGACACTCTAAAGTTAATTTTTGAAACATCCCTGTAACCAAAATATAACATTTTGAAAAACAAAATTCTTATAGAGGAGATAACTCTTGAAATAAAGATGCAAGACGCCATACATGATGTGAGTTTTAACAATTAGTAATGAAGCTGTTCATAATGAATGGTTATTTTGAATTTGAAGTATAAGAAAGTTAAAAGAATAAATAAGAAAAATTCAAAGCTTAAGGAGGAAATTATTCTGGAAATATGGATGCTAGATTTATAAACCTCGTCATAATATTATGATGTGAGAATTTGAAGTAAACCCTTTAAGTAATGAAGAAGTTGGAATAAAACATACCAATTTCTCGAAAATAAAATCTAAGTTCAAGGGGGACATAATTCTGGAAATAGTCTTGCTAGAGTATTGAACCATTCTCACAAATGATTTGAGTGATAATAAGAAACATATATATGAAGTTTAAACATTAAAGAAGTTTAAAAGAAAATATTTTGCATGAAAAATTCAAGGGAGGCAATTCTGATAATTTTTGTGCTAGAGTTGATAACCTTGTCACATATGATGTGGTTCAGAACTAGAAAGTTATATTTGAAGTTTGCAATAAATACATTAAGAAATAAAGAACTTATAGTGCAAAAGCCGAGAAACTAGAATCAGAAATCATGACGAGGTTGCCGACGTTTGTTAAGTATGAGAGCTCTTAATATACTCCCTGTAGTCAATGGTAGTCAAGATAAAAATGATGTGAATGATTTCCATACTACCATCTATCCATATTTTACGTTTCATAAAAATGTTTCAAAATAGACATGCAGACCATGGTGTGTATAAATAAAGGGGATAAATCCCCAGATTATAAATACTTCTAGAATACGAGCAGTGGATGTATCCCTCAAAGAAACAAAGAAACAGTATCATGTAATTCTGTAACGAATGGCTAAACCATGTCTCATATGGTCTTTTATCTTTGGTATATATAACCTATTAAATGCTTAAAAAATAATGTACCTTTTCCTTGGAAATCTTGATGTTATTGCATTTATGTATGCATCTACAACCTCTTGCAAATTTGAAGATGCCACTCTCTTTACTAATCTTTCAAATCCATCGCCCACTGTGAAATGCAAATTGAAACAAAATGTACTGGAAATGTCTACGTTTTTAATTTTGTTTATATGTTCAGAACTACGAAACGAAACAAATAGCATGAGTTATATATACTAGGGTATTTGAATGGTATACATTTTCAAAATTTAACATTAACAAAACGTGCTAAAAACTATTTTTTACCATATACTACATCATACTATTATAAAAAACTATTTTTTACCATATACTACATCATACTATTATATCAATCAAAGTTATGTTCTTAATCCGATATTAACAGGAAATTAACAGACCTTCTATGAATCTTTTCTTTTCAGTCGTTTTATTCTAAATGAAATATTAATAATCTCTGCGGTGTTTAACGACTAATTTATACTTGTTCGGAGTTTTGATGCGGAGTACACTATCCATGTCTGATATTGTTACTCTGTTATCAGACTAGGTTGTATAGTGTTAACACCCCTACTAAACAAGGGCTCTCACATTTTGGAGATATGTTTAAATGAGAGCCCTCGACACTTCTGTTGTAGACCCATCGATCAAATTTTAAATAACAGTTTCTAAAAATATCCGTTGTTTTTCAAAAAAATGTAGAAAATTTTTCTCATCTTTTTAGATGCATTTTAGATGCGAAGTTTAACTTTATTAGAATTTTTTTTAAAATAACAACTCGTGTGTTGTGTTTCACAAGCAGATACATCAAAAAAAGAATACACTTACATAGACTAAGTTTCAAAAACAAAAATCAAATAATCCCGATCAAAGACACTAGCTATGCACATCTTACATACTATACCAAAATACTGAAGTTTTTACTTGCAAGTTATCCAATCAGTGATGAAATATTATTTCACCTTTAATCTTTTATAGATATATAGGCGTAGTCGATACTGAACACCCTATATCATTCAATTTGGAGATTTTCTTTACGTCTATCAATGAATATAAATCAGATAATTCCATTATGTCTACGGCATTATTGTATGTTTATGTCGGCTTCGTCACATTTGCGATGACTCTTTCACATTGCCAATAGCCACGGCATCGTTATAAAAGGACAAATTTCAAAACCGGCCTCAAAAATTAATGCGAGATAATTTTTTAGTATCAAATGAAAGAACATATGAGAGGAACGGAAAATATCGATACAATATTTATCATGGTGCCTTTGTTTGTCTATTTTATTGGAAGGAGAGCATGCATGTAAACAAGAACAGCCAGAGTCTATAAGCATGTTTATCCCTGTTATTTATATCTTAAATTTTGTGTAAAGTTACACAATCACGAGTTATGTTAAAATTTTGAATATCTTAAGCCGTCACGACAAAACAATATTTCAATGAGCATTTGATTGACATTCCATAAAACGTTTAAAAACTGCTCAATGGTTTCCTAATATGAATACAAAGTTGCTTGCAACAACCATTCTTATAAGTAAGAACCAGTGGTAGCTGACTTGTGCTGCTTTAAATTCAATGTGGCTTACTGCCGTAGTCCGAAGGATAAGGTTTCACCACCACCAAAAAATAAAACATAATGCATACTTGAAAACAAACATCCAAGCAAAGAATGTATAATTCGGTCAACTACAGAGACATTTACATACGAATAATTGTTACAATTTGATATACTTAGTTTAACTAAATTGACAGGTAGTGTCTCTTTGATGTCCTTCGGTAAATTTGTTATCTTGGTTTCCACTTTTCGTTCAAATAATTCTCTGTCCAATATAGCTGTTCTATAAAATCCCGGTTCTATAATGTGTACGCTTACATCTGATCCATACATCTCTCGTCTGAAATGTAAATTATTGTACCTTTCCTTGTTTTATATTTGTAAGTTACTAAATATTCTTCTATTACATAAATATTAAAATCATAAATGCATTCCAACATACACGAAACTGTAAAAACAAACCCGTCAAAAGGCCTTTTACATAACATTTTAATAATCAAATATGTCTGTCAAATGTGATTAGCAACGTAAGCTATTAAAGTGACATAACACACATTGTGTTTTTGTCAAGTTCAGATGAATTTACTATATATTTCAAAAGATTGACTCTAATATAATCGCTATTGGCCCATAATTGATACTAAATAAAGGTTTAAGGTGAAATATTAAAACGACTCATAATATAAAAAGACTGTCCCACTCTTTTTAACATTCAATCCGAAAGATATTTTTAGATTTTAAGTCAAATTAGTTATGAATATAAATTATGAAGTAGAATGACACATTCAAAACAACTATGGCAAAATGTGAAGTTATTTCGACTTTTACCTGAACACTATCTAATTACAGGGTGATATTTGAACTGTTACTCCAAAACCTATGTATGATAATTTTAAAGATGATGTTAATAAGTATAACCTACATTGTAATAACTTTTTCATATTTTAGTTTCCTTTTAATATAATGGCATTATTCAGTAAGGTTGCTTATACAATATTTGTATTTAGTTATTAAAACGAAATAATTTTAGACTTTGACATTAATGCGGTTATCCTTATATATAAGTCATGCATATTTCTGTATCGTAAACTGTAGAATATGCGTGATATTTGGTATTCTTTTATTATGTTGAATACTTCTTTAAAATAGTAATTTTAACAGGATTTAAGACTACTACTCATGGCATAAAAATCTTTAAAAGTAGGGTGGTGCAAAGTTTTTTTTAGTGTATTACTGTAAAATGATATTAAAAAAACTAAAGGGAGGAAATATAATGATATGCATTAAATATTTGAACAAGTATATCTTCTACATATTTTAAAGCTTTTATTTGCAAATGTTAAATGCAGGTGTTTGTGATGGTTGGTTGCTCCCTTATTGATGAGTTTTACCATTTTCGTGTCTTGTGACAATTTTTGGATACCTTACCTACCATTAAATTACTTTCATATTCCGTATTATACTTTTTTGAATGTTTTTATTTTCTGTACATTATTTATTAAGGAGATGAATTAAAATAATTTTCTCCCTCATCTCCCTCATTCATGCATTAAGTAACATTACATTTCTTTTCACCACTTGAGAGCATACAAAAGTAAGATATGATATGTGATTTTATTGTTTAATGTGATGTCAAATCTTACTGATGTTTGCTTAAAATATGAAATCACTTTGTATACTAAGTTTTATACAATAGAGAACATTAGTTACACAGAAAATGTCACGTGTGTTATTCACCACTCCAAACGCTTGAAATTGACAGCGGCACCTTACCTCTACAGGTAAAAGATTGAAATATGGGCATTAAGTTTTATATTTGTAGAAATTACATTAATATAGTGTTAAGTGTTTTAATAAATTCTATTCTGCACGTGAATAAAGTCACAAACCTAAGGACATCTGAGAAAGCCTCCACGCCATATTTAGAAATACAGTAGGATGCGTTGGCAAAGGCAATTCTTCCCATGACGCTGGATGTGTTAATGATTCTGCCTTTTCCTTTTTGAACCAGCGGCATAAAAGTCTTGGTTACCATGATGACACCGTAAAGATTTACTGACATTGTTTTTTCATAGTCTTCTCGTGTTTGCCATGATGTTGGGCCAATACTGTCCAGAATCCCAGCGTTATTTACGACTGCCCACAAGCCTATGTCACAATCGCAATATATATATCAGTTACTAGTTATCTTATTTAAATGCAGAAACCAACTGGTGTCCTAATACACGGTGTCAAAAATAGACATAATGATAATGTAACTCGTGTTCTTTTGAAAATTTGAGCAAATTAATTTCTAATTGATTACCAAATTTAGGTATATTAAAGGAACACCTTGAAGTAATATTCAAACAATTTAGAAGTATTCAGTTATATCTTGTCTGCAGGAGTTTGAACATCAATATCATTTTATAATTATGTACTGAAATAATAACTTGGCGCTTAATTCATTACTCTGATTAAAGTACGATTAAAGTAAAATTGTACCTTGGTCTGACTTAAGCTTCTTTTTGACGAGGCCTGCTACTGCATTTATATTGTCATCGTTCGATACATCTAGTTGAACAGCGGTTACTTTTTCTGAACACACGCTTCTTAGATTCTCAACTCCGGCCTTGGTTAGACATCCAGCAAACACATTGAAACCTAACAAGTCCAGTCTTTTGGTTAATAAATAACCAAACCCTGAATCGCAACCTGTTACGAGTACATACCGGCCCTTATAATTGCTGATTTTGATTTTATTTAAAACACTCATAAAAAGTTTAAGTGCAAGTAAACTTAAAACTATTGATACTAAACTCCACAACATATTGCTTTTTTTTCAAAAAAATAAAACCTGACCTACATAAGCGAGATAAAGCTTTAATAACCTGACAAGTCTAAATTTTAAACTTTTAAATACAGGTATATATGTGTAATGTTAAACATCTTTACGTGTGTACACATTGTAGAAAGATAGGTTTAAAGATCCAGAGTGTCGTAAAAACTTTACTCACAATAGTATTTTGCTTCACGTTTAGATAACAGTTTTCATTCTCCGTGTTTAAATGTTTATGCTAAACGCACATTATGCCTCAGAACTGAACAAATATTTAATTCTTTAGAAAGGTTAAGCATGAGTGTTATAAAGTTTAAATAATGGTTTTAGAGCATGTTGCATGCTTGTGAACTGAATAAAAAGCTCAAAAATGTTAAATGTCTTGTCATAAAACCAGTAAAATGTAAACAAAACAGTAATTTGACGTCCATACAAAACATTTAGTCACTATAAATGTACTAATTGACAAAAAGCAATTGAAGAAGAAGACGGTTAAGGTAACAAGGCATTCAGTACATTGATGGAAATTATAAAAAAATACCAAAAACTTAAGATTTTGAGAAATAAAATGAAAGCATTTCTGGGGCTTAATGGACCTTTGATAGTATATTGTTTAGATATACGGTTTGCTTTTATTTGATAGGGGCGTCCGATACCTAATGGTTAGGTAGTTTGTGGGTCCGAATCTCGCCAAGGATTTCAAATTCTTTCATGTGAGGAAGCTATAACCTAGCTAACGGAACGTCGGTGGTTCCACTCAGGTACCCTCTTGTACCTGAAATAATACACGAAGGGGCGCCTGAGGTCTACATCCACCTGTAAACCTTGAAAATTGTATTGTGACCTTGACAGTGTTAGTGCGACGTACACGCCAACCAAAAAAGAAATAATTTTATATTCAGCCATTATAGTTTTATTACTCTTGGCCCACTAGCGGAGCTATTTGTGTTTACTATCTTTTTGTCCATGGACCCGAATTTTATCAATTAATCCCTTCGATTTACAGCTAAAAATATATTCTTAATAAAGAATTCCTTCCGATTTTTATTATGTAAAGTCATATATTGGTTTTCGCTTCGGTGATTCGCAGAATTCCATATAAATGTATGGAAACGGGAACAAAACGGTAATTTATTTCTTACATGTGTATCTTCTACAGGAAATTACTTATTATTTTGTAGTAACACAGTGGGTTATATATGTATTTTATTGCTGTACATGAATTCGAAAGCTGTAAATAGATGATCTAGCTTATCATCGTGAAAGTCGGAAATTCTATTTATAGACGTAGTTTTAGTCTAAATGAAAAGATCATTCGTGTCGCGCTATGGTAATAGATAACGAATTGGAGGATATTGCAGCAAATGAAATGCAAACATATTCAACAATAAATTGCACTCTTTGTAAATTTATCGAAAAAAATATGAAGGCCATTTTTACGATTTGTTATATCATAGTATTGTCATTTTTAAATTTTCTTTTCGTAGGTTTTTTACGGTAAATTAAAAGCTCCTTCATATTTTACGGCCCTGATTGCACATTTTTACGGTGTATATTTAAATCGACCCGATTACGCCAATTATTGCTGTAAGAAGTTGATTCTATTTTGTTTGAAGGCACTCGGTTTAATTGTGGTTTGAATGGAATGTTGATTTGCCGAATACTGTGACATTTTAACAACAGAAACTTTCGTCTGCAGTTTTAATATGAGGTGTTATGTGTTTATTGATAGGAATGTAAACCCACTGGTGAATCAGACGAGGATGTTGAAGCAGTTCAACAAAATAGTAGATTGATCTCCCAAATAAAACAATTAACTATAGCCCTTTATTTATCACCAGTGTCAAATAGCTTTATATATGTGACCCGCACGTGAATTTCCCCATACTGTATAAAATTCAGGTAATAGTCTTCCGTTATATTGATATTTTTTCACCATACAGCGTGTACAACAAAATAAGTCCTGAATTTGGTCGTTTTATGAATATAAACCATTTTCTTTTAATTTGACATGAAAAATATACCTATAAAATTATTATATTAGTCCCTTTTCTTTTTATTTACTGTTTGTAGATTTGTAACAATTCTTATAATAAAAAACAGACTTTGTTCATTTTGACTACTGTTTTGTATGCTCCAAAGAAAATACATTAATTAATATTCTAAATTTTGGCAAACCTACCAAAATTAATGATGAACAATGTCGTTCGTCCGCCCATTTATCTATAGTATACAATGCTGGTAAAATCCAATAAACCATTGAAAAATTTTTAAGAATATCTGTTTATCAGTTATCTACTTGTTCATAGTCAATTGCTGCATTTCTTGCTTGGACGGTCTTTGATGCTTTGCATCTGTTCAATGATTTTCTTGTTATATCATGATATACCACTTGCCCCGAAACAGTCACGAAGGACATTGGCTTATTTACATATGGATTTTAATATTTCTTATCATGATTTGTTGTTGCTATTTGTAGAAAATGAGTAGCATTTTATGTGAAAAAAGTACATGCTTTGATATCTTTTATCGTCTAATATTACTGACAACAGTAGTGACAAAAACAGAATAATGTTGAACTGCTGTCATGTCATTTACAAGTCTTGTAAGTCTTGTTTGTATTGGAATTACTTTCCTTACCAGGAAGGCATCAGTGAAAGCATTGTTTTTATTAAATTAAATATCTGGCCCCTTTCTCATGGACAGTGCATACGATAAGTATAATTATGCAAAAATATATACAAGACATTTTGACTAATGTACAATAGTACTTAATCTGAATAGAACATGACCTGTGCGTAGGAATGAATTGGTCTCAAGCACTACCTTAAACCAAAACCAAAACAAACAAACAGTTTTGCGTTGACGAGGCGCATTTATTTGGTAACATGGAAACAGTTTATGCAATAATACAATAGCTTTTATTTTGTTTATCAAAATGCATTGAAAATGCAATAATACTAAATCCATTCGTAATTTTAATAAATTATTTTATCTACTACTTATAATCAACTTAACATGTATATTATAAAATTGGATTAACTGTGAGAAACATGTCCCACACAAGAGTAATGTCATATAGATCTTCATGTATCAGCTATTACTTATTGAAATACACGTCACAATCAATGATTATATATTATAACTGTAGCTTGAAAATATCATTGACTTTATATTTGTCATCGCAATGCTGGCCGCCGACGACG